TGCAGGAAAATCTGACCCCTTCGTGACCTTCAACTTGAACGATCAGAGAGTCTTCAAGTCGCAGACCAAGAAGAAGACCGTCACGCCGGAATGGAACGAAAGCTTCACTGTGTCTGTGGTATGTGTTTCATTGATTTCCCATTTTTCGCGTCTCATGTGGTGATAGCCGTCCCGTGTCGCCGCCGATTTCACCCTCGAAGTCTCGGACTGGAACCAGTTGGAACAAGCAAAGAGTATAGGTGTAGCGAAGATCGATTTCGCGGACCTCGAGCCATTCCAAGCTGCCGAGCGCATTATACCATTGAGCCACGACAAGCACGGCGAATCTGGCGAGATCAGACTCTCGCTCATGTTCACGCCGGAGATCATTGCCAAGTCGCGCAAGAATACGTCAACCTTCTCTTCCGCAGGTCGTGCTATGACAAACATTGGTGCGCTGCCTGTTGGCGCCGGGAAAGGCGTGTTGCAAGGTGTCGGCAGCGTAGGCAACAAGATGACTGGTGTGTTCAAGAAGGATCACGCTAGGCAGGCTTCAGAACCAGCATCACCTGCTGCTGCAGCTCCCGAGCCGCCGTCCAGCCAGGTATCCGCGCCCATTGGCGCGAACGATTCAAAGAGCGGCAACGGGACCACACTCCCTACGCAGAACACTGCCGTTCCGGTTGGCGAAGCAACTGTGCCCAACGAAACGGGTCAATTGAGGGTCACCGTCTTGGGTGCGAAGGATTTGGCGGGCGATGATATAAAACCATACGTGGTTCTGAAATTGGGCGACAAAGAAAAGAAGACGAAACATTCCGGAAAGACGGCTGCACCAGAATGGTATGTCTTGTCTGTTTATTCCGCGAGTGTGAGCTGACGCGTGTTGCAGGAACGAATCATTTACGTTCATGGCCGGTCCATCAACACCTAAGCTCATCGCAAACCTCATGGACCACAAAACATTCAAGGACAAATCCTTAGGAGAAGCCGAAGTAGATGTGCGTTTTGGTATCATACCCGTGACTTTCCATTTTCTAATTATGTGCATTTGCAGATATGGCGGCATGTGCGATCTGCCGGGCAAACAGGAGCGGATGTCTGGGTGGAATTACGCGAAGGCTCCGGTCTTTTACATCTGCAACTTGAGTTCGAAGTTGGGCACCCACTTGGTCGAGACTCGTCTGCGTCGTCGATGGAACGTCCTGCCGTCGGCTCGCCATCGCGATTCAGCCTCAGGCGTAAACCTGACGAATAAATTGGACAATATTCTGTCTCAAACACTCATTCATTCTAATTCTTTCTCTTATGAACAATTGTCCATCTACTGATACCTCTGCTAAGAGCTGTACTAGTACATAGTTAAAAGTCGGACACTTTATTAAGGACTGTAAATATGCGATGAATGCAACGCGATTGCTCTGAGAGGTGGAAGGGCCACAACAATTTGTGGTATTATATAACGTTGAATACACTTTATTAGTCTGCCTAAAATTGACGACTTTCGTCAGAGCTCTGTCCAACCGTCATCAACATCTGGACCGGCTGAGACCATTTGCAGGATGAACGCGAGGACACTGCCGCCGACGCGCATTCCAAGACCGCGGTACAGTTGCCCGACACCTGTATGTCTCAACCAGCTTCCACCATCGCCATCCGGGTCTACGAGCGACGCGCCTTCCTTAGATTTACCCTTATCGCCGCTCTTTGATGCTCGCCGCCGTTTGCGAGCGTCAGATGTCTTCAGCGGCAAATCCGACCGCTCCTCTGAGAGGATCGAGTACAGCGTGTCGACGACGCCGAAGTATGGCCGTGGCCGCGTCTCGACGCACGTCTTGAGTGGCGACGCGATGCCGCGTGTTTGCACTTGGAGTCTCCGGCGCACAGTCTCGACGGGGAGTATGACCAAAAACGTCGCGCATCCAGTTGCGAGTTGCGCAAGGCTCCATACGATGGGATGTGTGTCTGGGGTCGCGGCTGGCCCGAGGAGACGCGCTGCACCTGCCTCGGCGGCAAGGCCGGCAAGAGGTCGGAGTGTGCAGTCAAGGAGCGCGGGGTAGAGAAGTTGCGGGTGGAAGTACATGGCGCGCACCCCGCCTTCGTCGCGGGATATTTGGGAAAGCGCGTCTAAGGGTCCGGTGTATCGTTTGTGTCGGGTTTGCGAGGTTTGCGCGATGAGGCGGGTACGGACGAGGTCGAATGGTGAGAGGATGAGACCCGTGAGGATGTGTGAAGCGAGTGGGACTAGAATTGGGCCATGCGATGGATAGATCTGGGATACTACGCCGCCTAGGATGGCTTGAACGATCGGCTGGAGAGTGCCCGAGAGGAAATCAATGCAGTACGATGTTAGCTGACCTGTAACCATAAATCAAAACTAATCTCATTGATAAGGAAAACGCCACACGTACCCTTCCACAACGCGAGCCAGCCTTCCGGCCTCCAGCGGCCAACACACTTCATCATGGACCACACGCCGTCCGCCGAGCCGACGGGGATGACGTATTCTGGCCGAAGCTCGGTGTCGGCGACGCTCTGGCGGACGACGTAGCCCTGCTCGTCGGTCTGTCTCTGCCGTGGCGGGTGGAACCGCGCGAGAGGCGCGCCAGGGGTGACATCTTCCGTGAAATACACGTCTTCAATGTCGATAGAGGATTCCTCGCTAGGCTACATGGCCGGCATCATGCGTCATGAGAAATTAAAAACTTTCAGAGTTGCGCACACGTACCTCTTGGCTCTCGTCCTCTTCGACTTGGACGATGTCTGCGTCCTCTGCAGGAGCGGCGGAAACGCCGACATCCCGCGGTACGTACTGCACTTGCAAGAGGATCCTGCCGACCTCCCATGGCATCGCGATGCCTGTGCTCATATACTGCAGCAGTGCACTGGCAAGGATTGTGCGTGCGAGTAGGCGAATATTGGGCACGGATGGCTCGAGGTTGAGCCCCGGAGCGAGGTCATAGATGGAGTTTGGTGGTGGATGTGTTGACCATGTGTATGTTGTCGTCGTCGCCGTGTCAGACAACGATGACGAGTTAATTGGCGGTGAGGGGGACGCAGAACCATTCTGCGGGGGCGGGAGAAATGACCAAGGCTGTTGCGGGGATGAGTAGAGGTCGCGGAGAGAGGCTGCAGACGTAGACGCCATAGACAAACCCAGCAAGAGGTAGTGTGACAATAATTGTGACTCTGCTGATTTACGTGTCACGCTTACTTTAAACGATAAAAGTACATGTACAGTACACTATTTACGGTCCTCTAGCAAGCGATCCACTGTTCCAGAGTTCATTACAGAAATACCCACCAGCCACCGATACCAATTGCCAATAGAATCCCGATAGCCCGAAGCACAATGACGACAATAAGTGCCTTGCGCACAGCAGCGTAGAACGTATTCAGAGCCGTGCCCGACCAGTTGATCCTGTAGAAACAATGTTAGGCAAGGAAATACCTTGCAGAGTCGACGAACCTTTTGTCATTCGCACCACCGCCCCGTAAACTGGCTTCCCAGCCGCGGACCACTTGACGGTACCTTTTACCGAACACCCAAATCCAGAAATTGACATCTGGATACGAGAATCGGGGGAAGACAGACCTGGCAATACAAATGGTAAGAAAGCATGCATGTTTGCGTGCAGGAAAAACGCGTACGTCATGCTCGGCGCAATATTCGTCGCCATTGCTGAAATCTCGTCGCGTGGATAGTCCGCAAGAAAGTCAGACGATGACGGATTCATGTGTGCGAGGAGATCAAGCGTCATGCCAAGTGAAAGTCCCCAGAGTTTGAGGTCCCTTGTCTTCTCGGGTCGCTTGCCCCATGCGCCGACGTCCTTCTCCTCCAGTGGCGAGGTGGGGTTCAGCGGGTCAAGGCGAATCGCGTTGAATTGCATGCTGCCCACGAGCATGCGCACGATGAGACGCAAGACAGTTGAGTGCCGGGGTGCGAGACGCGAAGACACGTCGACCGTAACGGACGACCATCTGTGGCGGTCGCGTCGTGGTGATGTCGTCGACGCGAGTAACGACGCAAGGGGAATCCAGTGCAGGACCGTTCCCTCTGCAGGATCTGTTGGGGGAGGAATAGGCGAGACCTGGAGGAAGACTGTACGTGACGTTAGTATGTTGGGGTAAATAGTGGAGGGAAGGCGGGAGTGTGTACCAAATGGGGAGAGGATCATTAAGAGACGTTTTCCGAGCGAGGTGGTGATTTCGCGGTCGTCGAGCTGGCCGATGCACATAAAGTCTTTTTCTGCGAGGTCAAGGCCAATTTCCTCCCATGTCTGGCGCATGGCTGTTCCGGGTGTTAGTTATTGCGGCGAGGAGCGTCGAGTTGAATTACGCGCCAGTGTATAGACCGCCCTCGTCCCCCTCCTCCATTCTCCCGCCTGGAAATGCGACGTGTGCATCCGCAGTATTACGAGGTTTATTTTGGGCGACACATTCGCTGTCCGGCTGCTCGCGGCGGAGGAAGAGGATTTCAGCAGTGACGTCTGGGTCGTTCACCCAGTCCTGGGCGAAGAATTCGGTGAGAGTAGGCTGGGGTAGTGAAGGAGCTTGTGGCGGTGGTGGGTTGGAGAGAGAGGGAGTTATTCGGATGATTAGTGCGACAGCTGCTCTGCGAGGCTCTGGGGGGAAATGAATGGGGGAGAGGGAATAGGTGGAGAATATAGAACATACGAGTTGCAGGGGACGAGATAATCCTTGGAGGAGTTGCGCGTATGCGATGTAGAGCTGTGGAGAGGAGAGGGACGACACTAGCCGCCGACTTCACATTAGGTCCTGTCATCGCTCAATCTCAACTTTGAATGTCTTCCCCAACTATTTTGTCACAGGTCCAAATTGGGACGCCAATCCCAATCCGCTTACATAAGTGTTTCCACAGCCCAAAGGGTCGTTGTGGCGCTTATTTGTAGTACAAACAAACCATATATGGTATGCAATAGTCAACACTCAACTCGGAATATTCCGTTCAGCGTTCCCAACAATCTATACGCAATGCAAATCTCCATTGAAGAAAAAAAGGTTTTATAGTGTAGTGGTCATCACTCGGGATTCTGATTCCCGCGACTCAGGTTCGATCCCTGATAAAACCTTGAAGTAAATGAATTTATTTATTTTTTCAGTCGCGCTGAGTCGCTGCTGACGCGTCGCATCGATAATCTAGTCATCTCTCTTTCCTCAACCACATCATGGTATGCCCCCTTTCCCTTTTGCTTCCCCATGGCTGACAACATGGCTAGCTTGTCCGTGTCAGATCAAAGGATGGCAACTTTCGCTTCGACGTCCAACCGACTACAGACATTTCGGAGCTGCTGCACAAGGTGCGTGTCTCGTTACAAACCGCGTTTTTCTTCACAACTCATCTTCCGCCTAGATCCTTGAGACGACCCAAAATGCCGATCCGTCCACGATAACGTTTTCGAATCAGCCGAGGGGCGGCGAGGTCAATGTGTCCACCCTCAAAGGCAGAAATATGCAAAGCTTGGGTCTCAAGTACGCATTTCACATCCTGTCACTTTTCTAGTCTTGAGACAATTGCCACAGACACGGAGACCTCCTTTTCGTCGGTTATCAGTCGCATGATAGTGCACCTTCAACTGCGTCGGCGACTGCTCCTGCTCAGGACATCGTGCAACCTGACGCGAAACGGCCCTGGGAGACTGTTCAAGAAGACCCCGTTGACACATACTGGCGGAAACACGACGGCAAGATTCCTCGATCTCGCGATTCACGCTTCTGCAAGCACGGAGCAAACGCTATGTGCGACTACTGCATGCCTCTGGAGCCGTATGATCCCAAATACCATACGGAGCATTCTATCAAGCATCTTTCGTACCACGCCTACTTACGCAAGATCTCTCCGGCGTCTTCCTCATCGTCCTCGGCCTCGTCGCTACCGCCTCTGACTCCTCTATCCTACAAAGTGAAAAACCCATGTCCGAACGCCAATCACCCGCCATGGCCCGCAGGAATCTGTACTGCATGCCAACCCTCCGCGATCACCCTCCAACCCCAACCATTCCGCATGGTTGATCATCTCGAGTTCGCCGGACATGAGATGGTCGACCGTTTCCTCCAGGCCTGGCGAAGAACCGGTACACAGCGCTTTGGATGGCTGATCGGACGGTACGAGCCTTACGACGAAGTACCGATGGGCGTCAAGGCTGTCGTCGAGGCGATCCATGAACCTCCTCAGGAAGGTGAACTTGATGGCTTAACACTGGGGTTACCTTGGGAGGACGAGCAGCGCATACGCGGTCTCGCCGCTTCCGCATCGACGCCACTTACCATTGTGGGATACATGTTCACCGACCTTGACCCCTCAGAGGATGACCGAACGAAGAACGTGTACAAACGACACCCGGGGTCGTATTACTTGACTTGCCTGGAGGCAATATTTGCCGCACACATGCAGCTGCATAACCCGATGGCGTCACGGTCGTCCCCCACAGGCTCCTTTGCATCGCGCCTCGTAACGGCGGTTGCGACTGCGACAGAAGAAGGGAGCGTCGACATAGCGGCGTATCAGGTGTCTGAGCAGGCTTGTGCAATGGTTGACGCGGACATGATTGAAGCCAGTGTAGATCCTGGGATAGTGCGTGTCAAGCCGGAAGATCGAAGCCAGGACGCTGCGAGATACGTTCCTGACGTGTTCTTCCGGTATAAGAATGAATACGGACTTGAGGTTAAGAAGAGCGCAAAACCTGCTTTCCCGGTGGAATATCTGCTAGTCAATGTGAGAAATTCTTTGCTCAATATCTTCAGACATTGATTAGATTTGTGCGGCAGGTCACCCACGGCTTCCCGCAAAATCCACAACCATTGTTCTCATCAAACCAGTTCACCATCGAGAATCGTTCAGGTTTGGAGGATCAAGACATCCAAGCTGTGCTCAAATCATTACAACAACTTCGCGCACCCAATATCTCACCTGGTTCCACTGGTCAAGACGCACTGCGGAGAGAATTAGCGACTTATCTCAGCGACTGGCACCTTGTCGCGTTCCTCGGCACCACGCAGCTCTTTTCAGAGGTAATACTCGGCCTTTTTCTGCTTTACATCATCTTATACCAAGAGCTTTCTGTGTTAGGATGACATGAAGGTTCTTGTTCGAACGATCAGCCGACCGCTTCAGGATATCGTGGCACACCTAGACGAATTACTCGTGACTGAGAGCTGGCATACACTCATGACATTTACCAGCGAGAGTGCGCGTACGTATCCTCTCCTTCCTTTCCCCATACCCGCTAACATATTTTTTTCTAATTCCTCAGCGAAATCCGTACCTTCTAACAGCAACAGCAACACACTGGACGACCTGCCGCAGGACATCCGCGAACAGCTCGAGCGCATGCAACAAGAGGAGCGCGAAGCCGGGAGCGGGAGCGGCACGCCTGGCAGCGGTGGGATGGGCGTGAGGATATGCCCTCATTGTACGTTCGAGAACACGCATGGTGGGAGCGATTGTGAGGTGTGCGGGCTGCCATTGGGGTAATATAAACATTACGAGAGCTTGAAAGCCGTGTTGGACATTATTGCATTGTATAGAACCACATGAATCCGTAGGAGGCGCGAAAGGCGGCCTTCCCGTTAGTAACATCCACGAGTCCACACTTCGTGCATTTTTGTTTAATTGCAATCGAAATTAAATCAACATGTAGCTCCCCATTGACAGGCGTCTACACCGCCCAATATTTGTATTCACTATTCTTCTCTTAGATTCAGTCTTCCCTTTAGAATTCAATTAAGTAATAAAATATGTGATGCCCGAAGTCTCAGCCACTGATGTCGAAACGCCACCGCCAGAAAAGGCAGCCAGGTTTCCTTATCTGGCACTTATTGACTCTTTTCGCGGTGACGCTCAACCTCATCTTGCTGGTCTCAAACACCAAACCTATTGGGTTTTCGAACACACCGAATTTTCCCAGTCTTTCACGCCGTCCTGAGACACATTGGTGATGAGCTTCCGCTGCACCTCAAGGCCAGATCTGACACTCACTGCTGCACTTGTCACCGGTTCGAAAACCTTCCAAGCACTGGCATCATTCTTCGAATGGTCTATAGCACAACCTTGCAGTTGTACCTCTTGCTTGGGTGTTTAATGGCGAAATTTTAAGGATAATTGATTGGTGAAACGCGTAATAGTACAAGTACTTGTGCGTAGACCATTGACTCGTCGGAGGGTTTGAACGTTGATACTATTTTGCCTTTTCAGCGTATATATGCGCTACGGGACATTTGAGTATGGCTTACATCGGTGCTACAGCATCAGCACACATCGATCATATCTGACGTTCGACACTGCCGAAATTCGAAAGAGTTCGCACGACACAACGCCAAACCCTCGCTGAGGTCTTGCCGCGAAGGTTTACTTAAGGTTTTACCTCTGAGCAATCAGTCCTTATGTCTAAGCAGATATGACTGATGAAATCCTGTTTGCTTCTGTTGTCTGTGGTAGGCCGCTGTCGCCATTTGGTGTGGCAATTGCGAATCGCCACAATGGTGAAAACAGTACGCAATCGCGCACCGATAGCGACATGCGCATACAGCACTCTGCACGGATGAATTCCTTGCAACTGATTCCCGCGAGATGCTGCAGCTGGCAGTACAAGGCCAAAAGGAGGAGGATCAGCAAGGGGCCGAGAGCACGCCTGGCACGCCTATAGATGAATCAGTTCGAAGCGAACTTGACTATTGGGAACGCCTTGTCTTTTCTTTTGACATGGACCGCGACCGCGATAACGACCGTAGCGCCTCTGGAAGCTCACGACGACCACAACGGAGCAGAGGGGGGTCCACCTCGCCTTCGAATACGAGAGGGGGAGAACAACCTCCTGGACACACGTCTAATACGACTCAGCAACCGCAAGGCCAGCGACCTAGCGAGGCCGTACCAGGTTACCCGCAGAATTATTCAGGCCAATTTGCACAGCTGGATCCCTACACGCTTGCTCAACTGGCAGTGGCCGCTGCCGCCATGCAGCAGCAGCCAGACCCATTCGCAGAGATGCGCCGGGTGCAAGGCGCATTCCCCCCTGGGTACCCAACTTACCCATCACCAGACCATCAACAACAGACGCCAACACAGTTCCAGCAGCCGGGGATGATAGCGCCGTATTACCCACAAATGACGCAGAGCACGACACATCCTTCGCAGTCTAATTTAGGATATCCTTTCCACTCTGGGTTGTACTCGCCACAGGCAGCTGTGCCTCTTGCTGTATTGCCAGGATATGGTGTTCCGGGACCGTCTAATATTGGTGGCCAGCCTCCCCCACCTCCACAAGCGCCAGCCCCCGAAGGAGAAACGGACGACGTATCCATAGCAGAAGACAAACGGAGAAGGAATACAATGGCGTCAGGTAAACACGGGTGTCTTGTTGTGGTACGTGAGGAAGCTGACAGAAAGTAATTTGATTTCCCTCATAGCGCGATTTAGGATAAAGAAGAAACACAAGACATTGGAAATGGAGAGGTCAATTGCGGATCTTGAGGGCCGAGCTGGCGACCTTGAACGGGAGGCGAGCGATCTGCGGCGAGAGAACGATTGGCTGAAGGAGATGCTGATAATGAAGAGGAGGAGGTCCCGAACAGTACCCGGGAAGGAAGCGGAGGGCGATGATGACGGCAACGAAGACGAAGATTCTGACGATACAGAGGAGCCCAATAAGGAGTCCGGATCCAGTAAGCAGGCGTCGAAGAAGAAGGGGAAGGAGAAAGAGACATAGTGGTGCGCAGGATGGTCTCGGGATATAGGACGGGTTTCAACGCACAACGGCACGGCTAATTTGTAGAGGGATATGTCCATAACATTGTGTCCTATGTTTGACATTTTTGACGTTTTGCAATGTCGATAGCATTGAACACTCACACAGCTACAACGTGCAGAGTGGATCCAAGTATTCCACAAGCCTCTCAGAGATCAAGCCGTAGCTTTATGGGTGATGGATAAGGGTGCAGTTCTCCGGAGCTCATCGTACGAATGAAATCACCAACTGTGGCGTGCATACACTCCAGAAAGCCGAGCAGGAATGATCAGCCACAAGTCCAGCCACAGCTCACGTGCCGACACTCGAAACGGTAATGCAGTGTC